CACGCGCACCCACAACAACCGTTAGCAGGCAAAGAACTCGCCTAATGGCAAACCCCAACGAGCGAACCCAAACCAGGCGCTCAAACCGACCGCCGCACAGCCACCGAACTCAACGAACGAAATGGCTTACCGCTATGGAGTACGCATGTGCAGTAATTATAAATACAAATACCAGTAAATGCTGTTGCTTTTTTAACAACCGAGAGAATTATATATAAATAAAGTGGAGTATAAAAGCAAATAACACAAATAGGTGGAAGCGAGTGAGTTGCGGGGGAGTTGGAAAATAGTAATTGGCAACAATGCATACTCATGGGTGGTCGGTAGCGGCTTCGTTTATGTATGTGAAAGTAGTGAATCGGTGAATCGAACCACCCTAAAATCTAACTAGCGTTATAATGCATATGCCGTTCTTGTTGTTATAGCGGAGTATGACAATGAAGGGAGGAGAAGGAGAAGGAGCTGGCTGCTATGGCGGGGGGGCCTGCAAGTCATGGCGCGGTAAAATAAATCAAAATTCCATTTCGAAATGCAGTGAAAGAAACAACAGCGAAACCATCAGAAACAAATAAAACAATAACAACAACAAAACCGTCATAGAAAATGGTTGCAACACCAACAAAAGCAAAGCTGCCACAATTGCAAACGGCGACAACAACAAAAGACCAAAGTGAATGGCAAATAAAGGAGGCGACCAACAAACAAACAGACAAACAATTGTAGAGAAGAAGAAGAAGCCGCGCACAAATGAAAATGCAAAACCAAAATGGCAACTGTGTAATTTATTACTTAAGTTGCGCAGCAGCAGGGTATGGCGTGGGGCTATGGGGGCGCCGGCTGTCAACTTGTGCCAAATAAATAAAATATTACAGCGCGGCAGGGCGGCAGGAAGCCGCTGGAGTGGCAGCTACATTGTAAGTAAGAAAAATTATGGAGGCTGGTGGGTGGCAACGCCATGTGTTGTTGTTGTTGCGACGGCAAGGAAAAGCATAAGCAAGCGCTGCAGCAGTGCTTTGCTATTTATTATTATGTTGCTGCTTTTGTTGTTTTTATTTTTTTATTTTACTCGCTCAGTTGCTGCAGTGAATTTTGATTAGCTCGGCGAAGTGCTTTATTTCCGCATTTGGAATTTTCATTTTTTTCTTCGCTTATTTATTTGTTAAATTGCTTATCTCTGTTGTTATATAAATGCGAAAGTGTGCTGTGCTGTGCTGTGTGTGTGTTGGTGTGGCGCTGCCTTATGAAGGGGCGTTTCATTTGGATTGCGATTTATATTTTTATCTTCTTCTTACTTATACTCATTGCAATTTCACAATTGTATCTGCACACCCACACTCACACACACACAGAAATCGTCGTCATGAATGTCGGCACGTGTGTGTGCCTTATAAGTACTTTAACTTTATACTGTGTACGTGCTAGACGCCATTTTGTGTTATTATTCTCAGTTTTTGTTTTTTTTTTTTTTTTGGGTGTTGTTCTTCAACTTGAAGTGCTCAGCCATATGCTTCAGGCATTTCGTTGTGCCTGCGCTTGTTTATCTTTCATTGAAATTTAAAGTACTTTTAATTTATGTGTGCGTGCACATACATATTTTCTATATATATATATGTATATTAGATATATATGTATGTATACATTATTAGAGGAGCAAGTGCTAATTTCGAGTACATTTTCGCAGTATTTATGATATGTTATGTGTACATGCCGTGCTTGTGCGCACTTGCTTCTACCCACCCGCTATACAAATACATATGTTGAAGCTTCGAAACAAAAATAATTTTCACAAGTTCTAACAGGTTTTCGAGTGTACATAGTATATCTAGATACGTCTGCTCTTCTTGTGCCTCATTGCGACTGCTGAAAGCAATAACGTCTGCACAAATTATGTCAACTTTGCAACTAAATATATTATTGTTAACGGTAGCGACGTCAATCATTTAAAAGTATACGTGAAAATATGTCAGTGAAGTCGAATCCTCAAAAAAAAATTTTTTTTTGTTATGTTTGTGAATGTGTTTAAACAGCCTATGGTATGCGTATTTATAAAGTTTTTCGACCGTTCTTGTTTTAATTGTTTATATCATGTTTCTTCATTAAACTAGTACCTACAGTTCCGTGGATTTTTCAATTCTCCTAAAGAAAAGATAATAGAATTTTTTAATTCTCCTAAGCAACAGACAATTGAAAATTTGCGGAAAATTCTCATAATTACTATCCCTTTATATTTTTATGAAACTGTTTATTTACCTACATACCAGGTGTGTCTCCAATATAACCGACCTTTTGGATATGGAATAAAATATATGTATATTATATTTTTAAGTTCAAAATCATTTACATTAAACTCAATGCAACATTGGAACGATGAACCAACGCATCTATCGTTTTTTTCATGTCATTTGTAAAAAACTCGTCAGCACTTCGTTTACTGTTGCTTAAATGACTGTGATATCATAATAAACAGTTCCTTTCATGTTTGTTCTCCGTCCGATTTACATGAAATGAAGAGCATTTGAAAGGGAATGAATGTATCTTTTTAATAATGAATATAAATCTGCATTTTGCGTGATTTAAAAAAACAAATTTAATTATGATAGACTCGTATCTATAGTACATATCGTCGCATAAAGTGCAGAAGAACGTATCATCAAAAGGAAAATTGAAAATCGTTGTCAAATATAATAACTAATATATAATCATTTTATAACCCAAACTCAATTTTAATTTCAATAAGAGTGTATGATAAGCAAAAAATAACCATTATATAACCAAAACTCGATTTTTTCAGTATGAGTGGTTTTTAATCACAATGTTTTTCTTTCGACGATATACTTTTTGTTTGACGATATACTTATCTTGCAGCAATTAAACTAAAAAACCCTCGAAATACTTTAGAAATATGTATTTCAATCTTAAAGAACCGATATCATTAATCAAGAATATCTTAGATAAAAATAAGAGATGAGGAGCAAATGAATTTTATCGTTATAAATGAATGTTTTAATTTTAAAATTTACAGACAGCATATGGTGAATTCGTCACTTAAAATACAAAGAAATGTCTATAAGTAAAGAAAAAAATTGTTAGTTTCAAGTATGTTTGAACGTTCTAAAGAATTATTCTATTGGTACAAACGTAAAAGAACTGTTTTTCTTATACAATTCTATGTATTAAAAAGCTTTGTAATCAAACAGTGAATGAGTTTTTCTTGCAACTACGTTTTTCAAATCGAGCGATGCTAATGTTCGGAGACGATTGCTCGTATCCACTTTAAATTAGCTACATAACTATACTGAGGTATGTTACACGATTAGTACCATAGCTTCAAAGTAATATAATCTAGTTAACTGCAAAAGATATTTTATTACTGTTATTTATAGAAGCCTTCTTACAAAAGTGAACAGAGGATTGACAAAGTTTTTTTTTATCAAAAGTTATATTTTTTATTACTGCTCCGTTTATAGTAACTGCAATATTTTATCAAAACGTGTTATTATCAATGCAAAAAAGTGTACATACTGCTTTGTATTCGCTCAGAAACATGTTTGAAAACGTCTGCAAAAGGGAGTCGCATTCATTTTTCTCAATCATTGCATAAACAGTTAGGCCTTTCTTAGCGCTCTACATTGACCGAAACTCTTAATAGCTAACCTAAGTTGTTGTTATTATATAATGTATGTATGTATGTCATACTATAAATTTCGGTACATTAAAAGTATATCTAATATATGTATGTATGTTAGGGTGGGTGAAAATCAACATAAAGTTCTGCTTCCGCTTGGTACTCTGAAAAATTGATAGGCAGACACCTCTAAGAAAGGATGCACAAGTATGAGCTCTTAATTGTAATGAGAAGGTCCTCCGCCTAATGGTTTTCTATTTTTCTCTTCTCACTAGTTGGAAAAATTTGTTTCTCGCTTCCAAATACTTATATTTAAAAATACTTTGTTTTCTGGACTTTGTAGGAAATTGAATGCTCTTCAAAAAAGGTCTTTTAAGATTTTTTCGTAAACCTATCTGTTTAAAAGATATTAACGGTTAAAATTTTATTATTATTGAAGAAAACACTTTTTTCTTATGAAATTTATAATTAAAAAAAATATATATATATATATATCTATTACAATTATAATTACATAGTACCTCACGTTCATATAAAGACCATTCATTTTCAAAAGTATTTTGTTTTGTGGATTTGGTAGAAAATTAAATGCTATATATTTAAAAATGGTCTTTAAAGATTTTTTCGTAAGCCTAGGCAAACACTAATTTATACACATATATTCAAAATATAAATATTCTGTATTTATGGGCAGAATTTATGTATACATATGTACATATAGTATACAAGTATCAATACATTAGTCGTTGTGGAATCATTCGTATATTTGCATATGTATGTGCATAACAAATCATTTCCGCTTAGAAACATATTTTATTGCTCAAATCGATCAATGAAGGAAATATGCGCCTACAAGTATGATAATATATGTATATACATATATCCATACATATGTATAGGAACAAACATACATGAATGCCAATTTTTAATTACATGCTCATGTTTACACAAGTTAATAATTAGATTATTGATTCATTAATTTTCTTAATCTCGAAAATTGATGTCTAATGAATTTGTACCCAATTCAATCGATATAGAAAAAATCTATATCTGTTTTAGACTTAACCCACACCTATTGGGAATGTGAAAATAATAATCATTTTTTCTTACTTCGATAGATCCAACTACCAAATCGACAGCTCAAATAGTTTTGGAATTGCAGCCTTCTAAAGCATCACTTCCATAAGTTAACTCTAAACGCGTTTTTATCCCGAAATAGCATTTCTCAACTTTGTTGAAGCGATTCGTTGGAGACAAATAAACCGATTTTCTTAGTTGAGAGACCGCTCTCTCTTATTCTCCCAATCTCACATTTTAATATATACTTTCCAAATACAAAATTTAATAATATCATTTCCTCCCCATTTACTTCCAGGTGTGGTTCAAGAACCGTCGTGCCAAGTGGCGCAAGCGCGAGCGTAACGCCATGAACGCAGCTGTTGCCGCCGCCGACTTCAAATCTGGTTTTGGTTCACAATTTATGCAACCCTTCGCCGATGATTCGCTCTACTCATCATATCCTTACAATAACTGGACTAAAGTGCCATCACCGTTGGGCACGAAACCTTTCCCTTGGCCGGTCAATCCACTTGGCTCCATGGTGACCACCAACCATCATCAAAACTCGGTGAACTGCTTCAATACCGGCGCTAGCGGTGTGGCAGTCAGCATGAACAACTCCATGTTGCCGGGCACAATGGGCTCTACGTTGACCAACAGCAATGTCGGCGCCGCACCATGCCCCTACACCACGCCCGCCAATCCGTACATGTATCGCGCCGCCGCCGAACCCTGCATGACGTCCAGCATGTCATCGAGTATTGCCACGCTACGCCTAAAGGCCAAACAGCATACCACCGGTTTTGCCAGTCCCTATTCGGCACCGTCGCCAGTGTCGCGTTCCAATTCAGCGGGTCTGTCCGCCTGCCAGTATACCGGTGTGACTGATGTTGTCTGAGAAAACGCCCTCGGGGCGCTACTCAATCAACATCAACATCATTTGCATCACTTCTCCGCCAGCAGTGGTGGCGGTGTATCCGCACACTCACCCAATCTCAACAATAATTTACATCATTTACACAACAATAATAATAATAACAACTTGTTGAACAACAACAACCTGCTGCTAGATCATAATGGCGAACTAAGCGTGGGTGTGGGCAGTCTGGTGGGCAACGGTGTGCACAATAACAAATCACCACTGGGACATCAACACAGTGATATGGGGGATGGCAACGGCGGACGTGGCGGCAATGGTGGTGGCACAAATAACGGACTATTGGGGCCGAATGTCAATAGTGATGGCGGCGACGAAGTGGAGGAGGTTATCGACTAAAGCTGCCGCGGGTGGTTTTAATTGGGTAGAGTTACTATAATGCAAATAAATAAATAAATAACGGCAACTTAAGAGGAAGGCATAACACAAATGCGGCTCTCAAACTGTTTTTGAGTGAAATGTAAAGAGAAGTGTATAATAATTATTAATGAAAAAAAAATATATAAAAAATAAATTTAAAAAATAAAAAGAAAAGCAAAATATTTGTTACAATAATTGTAAAATATTGATTAATTAAAGTGCATACAGATGTTTAGTGTTAAGTAATTGAATTAATTGTAGTTAAAACGGTGAACATTTATATTGAGATATAAAATAAAAAAGGTTTAACATAATATATCCAAAGAACAATAATTATTTTTAAATTCAAAAAAATGCGTTAATTAATGTATTTAAATATGTTAAGTAAAACCGCAAATGAAAATAATTTATTTAAGTTCGGTTCGGTTAAAAAACAAAAAAAAAAAACTTTAAATTTAATAATTTTTTGTTACACTTTTTTTTTTGAAAAAAATGAAAATTTAATGATTTTTTAAAACAAAAAAAAATTTTTTGTACAGTTCAGTAAAAAGAACTCAAAAAAAGTTGCATTTTTTTGACAAATTTGTAAACTTGTAAATAGCAAAAAAAATATAATTTTATTTGGCTTCATTTCCACAGCATTATATCAAAATGGGGCATAGAAGTAAACATCAAACGAAATTTAAATTCAAAATTTTATTAAATGTTAATAAATTTTATAACTAAAAATATTTCACATATATTTTTTTTTATTCAAAAACAATAAATTTCCTTTTTTTTCTATTTTAAAACAATACATTTTCATTATTAAACGGCTTTCTTTTCGAATATATGCCAAAAATTTCAAAACTTTTCCACAAAAAATTATTTTCCAACCGATCCCCATTACAAATTTTGTAACAATAATTTCTTCAGCATCGCGTTTTTTTCCTAAACCAAAGTACTACACGAAAAATAGTTCTTAGCAAATCGTGTAATATTACCATAACCAATCAAATTAGCACGCATATATATAAAATAAATTATTGTAAATTAAAAATTAATATTAAATAAATGAAAAGATGCAAAACTATATCACCAGCAGTTTTTAAGAAGTTGTCTAGTCGTGTAACTGAAACAAAAACAGAAAAAAAAAATATATATATATAATTAAGGATAAACACAACCAGCCGAACACATCATTAAATTAAAAGTAAAAAAAAAAATATTAAATATTAAATGCTATAATAAGAAATAAATTCTGAAAGTGAACAATAAAAAAATGGATTGAATATTTTAAATGATTTTATATTTGTGAGGAAAAGTTAGGAAAATTATAAAATCATATTATCAACATATTTCTATCCAACAAAAGGTCCAAAAGGTCCCAGAAACTGTAATTAAATTCTCCAAGTAAATGAGGTTTAAAAAAAAGTTACTTCGCTAAGTTGGTAGGATTGTCCTTATCGGTAAACGAGAGATTGTTGAAAACATGCATCGCTCTGGGCGACCTTCGACTTCTTCAACTAGTGAAACAATTGAAAAATTGAAGGATATGATGCTTGAAAAAAGTCAAAAAGGCATTAAAGAGACGGCAAGAGAGCTCAACATCTCTCGCGAGTCCTGTTGAGTGATTTTGCTGGATATTTTGGGTATGAAACGCGTTCTTACTCGACTCGTCCCGATAAAGCTTAATTTTTTTTTTTTTCAAAAAGAGTACCGTAAATCAGCTCTTTGGATATGCTTGATCGAGCATATTCCGATTCCAAATTCATGGAGAAGATTATAACTACCGTCGAAAACGGCCGAAATTGTGGAAAAACAATTCGTGGATTTTTCACGATGATACTGCACCTTCGCATCGAGCCATTTTTAACAATTTTAATTTAATTTTTTTTTTTTGTTCGGCAAACTGAATTTCCGCTCCCTGGAACCCGTTTTCAGTCAACTGAAGAGATAAAGCAAAATTCGCTGACGGAGCTGAGTGCTTATGAAAAGTGTTTCGAAGGCTGAAAAAAACGTTGGCATAAGTGTATTACATCTGGTGGGCATAAATTTGAAGGCGATAAAATAAATATTGATGAATAATTAAATATTTTTCATTTCCGTATATTTTTGGTTACAATGTATGTGGATATCACAAGCAATTCGAGGTTGAAAAATATTTGTTATTAAGTCATTTAAGCCAAATATTTCGAAAACCAAACCTTTATATAATATACAAATATGCATAGCTTGAGGAGATTATGAACAGTATATTTCTAATATCAAAACTGAAGTAGAATAATATATTACTCAAAAAAAATTTAACTTTTTCGTCACAGGAAATTTTATATCAAGTTTTGAGTTTTGCAAGAATTTGTGAAAATATATTTTTTTAAAAAGTGTAAACATCATAATTGCCTAATATAAAAACTACTTACGGTTTTCGTGAATATTTAGTTTCTGGAAGTAATTTTTTTAATTCTCCTACAAAAATCTGCTTGCATTCCTTTACTCCATTTACCTTGAAAGCGCTTCTCCATTAAGGAAATTTCTGGATGAAACTTTTCGCCTTTCAAATTTGCCAGGTGACAGTTCAGCATATGTATTTTAAAGGTTATATTACTTCCGAAAACTTTATATAACATTATAAGTTCATTTATTGATTCTTTGTCATTCCCCACTTATGATTTGCTACAGAATTTTTGATAACGTTCAAAAAACATTTCCAGCTGAGTTTTTCCTGATCATTCAGTTTCTCTTCAAAGCTGTTATTCTTTTTCAGTTGTCATATTTGTACACCTACAAATATTTCCTCGTTAATTATTGCCCCTCTGAGGCTTTCGCACAGCCGATTCGGCACTATGTAGTATGGATCTGTTAGCCAAAGACAAATTTGCATACCGGACAATATGTAAGTTGTAATGCCTTTTTATATGAGTCAAACGAAAATAACAAGCACTACGTGATGCTTTGTTTCTGTCCAAATCATTGGTAAAACAAATGGCGGTTGGCTATGTTTTTGTTTAGTCTAACCTATCAATAGTCTCACACACGTTACACAATATTTATGGAATGTTAGGAGCCCAGTGTTTATCGCAATTCCTAATAGACAATCCAAATACATTCTTATATATTTTAATAATCCGCGGTTCATGTTGAAGAATTTTTGATTTCCTTAATGATGAAGCGGATCTCCAGGAGGACTTTCGAATAAAGATTTTCATTTTGTCATATCAAAAACAGACTTTTTTGTAAAAAACATTTGCCACTCTGAACTTGAAAAATCGGTTCAACTATAAATTTTCGAAGAATATTTTACAATATACTATGTACTTTCGATATACAAGCAAACATTTTTTAAAATTCACATCTGAATATAATGCCTAAAGCTAGGCTTGCGGTTTTGGACATTATTGAGATAAATTTAAATAACTGCTGATAGATTTTGAAGGATCTGAGGGTACAAGATCTGATTAATAAATTATTAGTATATCATGATGCTTGGTTTTTGAGTATAACCACTGTAATAGTTATGTTGACAATATACTTGTGGGTATGGCAAACTTTAAAATTTTTGTAAGTGTTTTTTGGTTGAGTAGTTTAATTAGCTTGTTCTAGAAATCCCTGCCTTGTAGCAGAATTTAGTTGATGTTATTTGGTTGATGAGGTTGGCATTAAAAACACATCGTTGCAAGAGCAAAAGGCTGTTCCAAAAACCGAGTTTGAGGAGTCTTTCTACGATTGGAAGAAGTGCTGCACAAGAGCATACTATCGAATGGGGACTATTTTGAGACCGACAACATTAATGTAGACAAATTAATAAATATTTCAATGGTGTATATAGTTTCATAATTCACATATATGTACGATCAATTAGATCTTATTTAAAATCTGAAAATTATTTAAATGCAATTTAATGACTATTAAGGAACAACTCTATTTGATTTGAGGAACATAGTGAAACATCATCTTTCAATAAAGGAAGTTATCTTGAAATATACGCAGTTAATTCTAAATTCATTTATATTCAAGCTGACATATATGTATATGAGTAGGCTTTCTATCTAATCTCGACGTGTATTTAAAAACGTTATGGCATGTATGTTTGGATGAATTTATAAAAGTGAAAACGGTTTTTATAGGCATTCGAGTATTTCGGGAGTATTTTTCACATTTTTTTTTTATTTTTTTTTTTTTTTTTTGAAAATAAGAGATTTATTATCAGTCTAAATAAATACAATGAAGGACTTTAAGTGAAAACTCACTGCCAATTTTCTACTTATTGATTTAAAAACCAAACATTTGCTAAGAATTTATGACTCAGAAGAGCTAGAAAATATGAATTTCACTTTTTCCTTGCCATCTTCAGTGCCATGCCACCTCACTTACCCCACCAAATCGCCGAAGTATAATAAATGACTCACACAGAAATGGTAAATTAAAATCAAAATGAAATCGTAATTTATTTTACCGCAGAACAAAGTACCAGTTAGCACTTTCTGAGGGGGGAGAGAGTGAGCGACGGGCAGCAGGCAAAGCGACACCGGACCACAGGAAGACTCAATTTAATTTTGATTAAAATGTGTGCGAGCACACACATTCATTTGTATATGTATATGCATATAACGGGAATATTATTAGACAGTGGAAAATGCAAATTTTCTCAACTCCGGCGACCTTAGCCGCAGTAAAAGGAAAGCGAGTTAACGTTAAAGCGACTAACTGACTGACCGTAGCACATTTTATTACCTTGCCATAGTGGCTGGCGTCGAGGGCGCTGCATTAATAGCTACCGACATTGAAAGCGTTCTCAAAACTGGTGCAAAATCCATCCATCAATTTATTCATTACAAAGAAATTATGTCGAATTTATATGCACCCCAAGTGCCGCAGCGAAAGTAAGCAGTTCAAGGGATGGTTGAGGCAGACGAGCAGCCGAGCAAATGAGCTGCGTACTCGGTCACAGGTTTGACGGCTCATTTCACTTTACATTGGCTGAGCTCTGGTAGTCTACTGCTAGTGTGTTTGTGTGTGTGTATGTGTAGAAAATCACCGCACAATAAAAATAATAATAAAAGTACAAACGCGGTCGAACAACAAATCTTTCCGCAACAACAACATAGTGGCAGCAGCATAGGCGGAAGGATGAAGCAAGCGCCACAACACAAGAGAGTCGATATCTCGAGCGCTGATTCCTTCTTTCCTTCTGGGGTGGATTGCTTAGTTAACTGTTTGCGGTATATTAGCCAGGCGCAGCTAATAGCCGCAAGATATTTACCGAAAAGG